AGAATGAGCCAGGGAGTAATCGGCGGAGTAATCGTGGAGAGGGGCTTTGAAGTCAAATTAAGGTCTTTCGATTTCACTCTGAAGAACTAGGAAATTTTTTGGAAAGGTGACAGAAACTGACTTTTTAAAAATTTTTTTTTATTTTTTTTATTTTTATTTTTTAGGATCACTTTGGCTGTTGCATTAAGAATAAACTGCAGGGGGAGGCAAAGGCAGATGCAGGGAGACCTGACAAAATTATTAATCCAGGTAAGACAAGATGGTGGCTTGGAGGAGTGTGACATCTTTGGGACAGTTTTAAATGGGCAGATTTTGTGCACACTATGAAGATGGGGATAACAGGATTTGTTGGTGGATTACTTGTGGCATGTGAGAGAAAAAGAGGAGTTGAGAATGACTCCAAGGTGTTTAGTCTGAGCAACTGGGAAATTAAGACTGGAAAAGAAGAAGGTTAGGAGTAGAGATGGTGCTAGTAATGAGGAGTTTAGTGTGAAAAGCCCACTGACGGTGCTAAGAAGCTTTTGAAGAAACAAGTATGGATTGCAGGGGAGAGAGAGGTATAGAGTTGGTAACTGTCAGGGTATAGATGATACTTAAACTATAAGACTGGGTAAAATCACTAGAAAGTAGACACGGAGGTGAGGTCTGAGCATGGGGCACTCCAGGTGATAAAAAGAACCAGCAATATGACTGGTTAAATGCTTGCTTTAAAAACGCTTGAGAAAATTTTCAGCTTTCTCCCACCTCTATAGTGTAAACACTCCCGTAACCTTTGTTGTAACACATTATTGTTTTAGAAAATTTTGTTGAGTTGGGTGAATTTCAACAGTCTCCTTCTCAAGAAACAAGCTTTCATGGATATGAAGTTAGAGCTGTCAAGAACTGTAAAGAACCTGAGAATTTCCCTGCAGACTAACAAGTTAACCGGCCCCAGTTTTACGGATGCCGGCAGGAGACATGAAACTCCTGGGTCAGGAGCAAAAGAGTTTGTTACTCACAGAACAGCAGGTAACATCAGCTTCATATTTGTGACTGTTTCCCCATTTTCCCCAAACCCCTGAGAGGCAAGAGAAGTAGGCTTGGCTGGATGCTGCAATTGCAGTGGATTTGTGTCATAGCTCAGGACCCCGAGCTTAGAAATCCCAATCTTTTATGAGGAGCTGCCAGCAAACCTGCCCCAGGGGTAGATACTATCTTTACGATACAAGACTGCAAACGAATCAACCCTCTAGTTTAGTGGGAAACACTATCTCTATCTTCTAAGGCTGTTTGCTGTACAAACATCATTGAAAAGATAATTTGGAACAAAAAAGCTATCGGTGCCTCTGCTCACAAGACACCCATGGATAACTATCTGCCAACAAAAGTAAAAATTATTAAGCAGTATATTTTGGAGACTTTTTGAGCCCTTATTCTGTTCCAGTTTAGAATTCAAAACCTTAACATTTGAAAAACCTACATTGTACTTATTTGACTAGATAACACTTTAACAGGCTACAAAATTTAAAAGAAAATATTCAGGATTATCTTTTAGTCAACAAAAGATGGTATGAAAGTGGTTTCTCATTTGCTTTAAGAAGAGAACACATTTGTATCACATTTGTTTTTCTTTTATCCCGGTTAATTCCGCCTTTTACTCAACTTCCAAATGACTAAGATTCTCTAATTAGTTATTAAAAGTCTGAGCTCAGCTCTTATGGGATATAAGAAACTATTTCCATTTTACTAGTTTTATAAATTTTCTACTTGAGTTCCCAAATAACCCGCATCTAGTCTGCCTATGCAAACCCAGACGACAAAGCTAAGGGTCTAAATCAGCATAAAAAACTAAGCAGCAACATCTTAACCGAGAGCTGCTTACCCTCGGTTAAGATAGCCTTCAGCACAGTTCTCTTATCTGTTATATCTGTTGGGCAGACATGTAGCTCTGTAATCATTGATGGATACCTTTACTTACATTCTTTCTTTTCAGAAGATCATGTTACTGTCTAGGAACCATTTGAGGACATGCAGCATAGTAAGCACTTGATAAATCTTGTTGACTAAATATAATCTTGTTGACATGACATAATATTCATTCATGTTCCAAAGAAATATATGGTTATTTTATATTCATTCATTTCCCTTATTCAGCACCTACCATGTCAGTCGTTCTAGGCACCAGGTATACAGTAGAAACAAAACAGACAAACATCTCTGCCCTCAAGAAGCTTACTGTCTAGTAGGGGATAAACATAAATGAATAAAGTATGTTGAATAATGGCAAGTGTTAATGAAAAAAAGATAAAGCAGAGAGAGGTGTCATAGAGGGAGAAGTTGAAATCTTACACAGGACAGTCCCTGAAAGGCTCACTGAAAATAGAAAAATGTGCTCAAAACAGCCGCCTTGTGTTAGTGACGCTTTGGGAAAAGGAAGAAGAGGATTTGTGTCGAGTGTGGAAGGAAGCAATGCAAAAGTCAGCACTCAGAAAGGGAGACCAAGAATTTGGTGCTGGCAAGAATTTGGAGTAAGAGGGCACCACAAGAATGCAAACCTCGAGGAATCTCTAGAACGGTGCTGTTCCTTGCTGCAGCTACTCATTCACTACATGTGACTATTAAGCACTTGACATGCAACTAGTCCAAATTGAGATGTGCCATTAAGTTGGTATGAAAAAATTTTTAAAAAGTCAAAAATCTCAAAAGTTTTTATATTAATTAGATGTTGAAATAATAATATTGTGTATATAGAGAGATAAATAAAATATATTATGAAAGTGGACTGCACCCGTCCCTTTTTACCTTTTGAATATAGCTATTAGAAGATTTAGACTTACATATGTGGCTCACATCATATTTCTATTGGACAACACTACTCTAGAATCTTGGGGAAAAGGCATGAACTTGCTAGAATTTTGGGCATGAGGAACTTAAACTACTTTCTCTGGATATTAAAGAAAAGGGTCATCCCAGAAAGCTGGAGATATAGACAATAGACATTAGCAGATTAAGTATGACAAAATACAAATTTACAAGAATGACATTTATTGTAGTAAAGTTTTACTAAGTTAAAAATAATTCCTACACTAGCAAGTGCTCTCAAAAAACAATGCAATTTATATAAAAATTCAACTTTTCAGATATACATTGATAACATGAAACAAAGTATATAGTATAACCTTCCAACATAAAATAACTGACATTCAGTCCTTAAATCTAAACTAGAAAATAAAAGCAAACATGGAAGCTTCCACCCCACAGATAAATTAACATGTCTTCTGTACTCTGCTGTTCTGAAGACTGACTACCTGCTCCTGAAACTAACACTTCGTACTTTCAACTAGAAATGCAAAATGCAGGGCTGCAATCATTTACAGATTGTATGTATTTCATGCCAAATTTCCCCCTTGAGCCATGTCTCAGGAAATTTATGAGCAAAAAATGAAACGAAATGTAATGCCTGACTCTAAGTTACATCTACGAACTGGATGTAACCAGGAAATATTTTTTCTGGGCTGTGCTACCTAAAAAGCTCTAATTAAGTACCTCTGGGATCTATGTTATATACATAGGCGGTTATGTGTGTATGGAATCTGCAAACCTCAAACCTGGGGAGATTTAAATATCACAAAATCTAGTCTCTTTATGTTACATTCAAGAACTCGGGAGCTGCAGACAAGTAACTTGGCTGAGATCACAGAGCTGCTTAGTGGCACGGACAGGACCCAAGCCACACAGAGTCGCAGCAGAGTCAGTTCCCTGGGTGTGATCCTGACGTCTCCTGATAATCGACTTAGATTGTCTGAAAACGAGGGATTTCTTGTATTTACTTGTAGGGGGCTTTCAGAAGGCTTAAAAAATCTTTCTCTATAAAATGCACATTACAGCCTTCTGTAATCTCTATCATGCTTAACAGGAATTAAGCTCAGGCCCTCCCTTTATCCATCTTCTCACCTGAACTATAGGCTAGTGCTCTTTCTCCTAAAAAGTTTATGCTCAGTGAAAGAAACATCCGTGGACATCAGAAAAGCCCCACCTCTCCTTTTTTAATGTATTTGAGTGTCTCTAGGCAGCCTGGAGTCTACTTGACAGCCCACGTGGCCACGGATGACTTAAGATGGCAACGCTAAGCCTTTGTACCCTAAAAGGCTTAAAATGAAACAGTTTCCAGGGGTGAGGGTGGGTACCATATGCAGAGTCCCGAGAAAGCTATACGACAGGCCCATAGCCTTGTACCTCTCCCATCTCTCTCCCTCAACCTCCCTCAACCCCAGCCTGAGCTACCCAGAGTTGTCCTCAGCTCAAGTAACCTATTTCTCAAGTAAACACACAGAAACTTACTCTCTCCTTTTCTCCCCGACTTAGCCAGGCCCTGGCTCCAGAATAACAGGTCAGCATATTTCATACTAAAAGGCCAACAATTATAAACCCCAAAAGGGACGCTTGTTAATGGAAATCAAGCTCAAACTGGTAGCTTCTTGGATGGGAGGTATTTTTCTGGTTGGAGGTCTTCCAAGTGTTCTGGTTTAATTCTTACTTCTACACACACACACACACACACGCACGCCCCACAGAAGCTTCACACACACACACACATACACACACACATGCACACGCCACACAGGAGCCGGTGACTAAGTACTCGATCTTACAAGTCTTCCAGCCCTCCTATAAATAATGGCTGTTGGGACTAGGTTACCTGTGGTAGGAGTCCTTAGCTTCATAGGAAAATAAATATTAAGTACAAAGCAAAATGGGACTTTCACTGCCCTTCCATAATCGGTCCCGTTCCAGGGTCAGGGACATGGGGAGCATCCAACGGCCTGTGTCCCACTGAGGGACTCAGGTACCCCCTTGAGCCTAATCCAATCCCAAACTAGGGAAGATAAGCGATGCCTGGGCTTTTGAGCACATTCACTTATCATCCGGTGACCTGTTCGGAGTTAGGGGGTGAGGTGGACCCCAGGCAAGCACTGTCTGTGACGTGCCACCAAGCCCGGAAGCTGAACGCGCCACCATACCTTTGCAAGTGAAACATTTGATGTGGAAGTGTTTGGTCTGGACCCGAAGCACTTCGCCCTTGCATGGCTCTCCACATTTATGGCAGTGAATGACGGGCTTCTCGGCTGGGTGGTGAGGCTCCTGAGGGTGGGCCACTGAAAGAAAAGCAGCGAAAGGCCTATGTGAGCAGAAAGCGTTCCCACGGAGGGGCTTCCTTCACGGGCATGCACAAATATCCCCAGGATTTTGGTACTGAATGAGCCGCATAATGATTCCATAAGTGTGAACTGAGCCCCGCTCCCAATGCCACAGTCATGGGATCCGCAGATAAGTGAGAAAGTTGTGGTTTGAACAGTCCAGTAGGGAAAACGCTGGGCTTGTTCCTGGGGGGAGCCAGCTGTTCTCATTCTTCCTCCCAGACTTCTCTAGGGTGACATAACTGGGTCATTAAGTATATGATCTTGTTTGGCTCACTATTTTGTAATAAGTATTTGTAATACATCTTTATCTTGATTTAGAAAGCAACTTGTGGCGAGCAGTTCCCTGCACTGCACATTCCTTCAGGATGGGGACCATTTCTTACCGTTCATTCTTTTCTCCTCATTTGTACTTCTTCCTTCCCTCTGCTCCTCAGAACAGAGCACGCCGCTCATGCACCCAAAGATTTAGTAAACGTTTATTTACCTATTAGTATGCACTGGCTAGTCTCTCATCTACTCTGCCAGGGTGTCACTCCTGATCTCACCTGGCAACTCGTTTAACCTGCTGGAGGCCCATAATGAGCTCCTTGTTATGTGCACAGTTCCTGATACACACACTGCAGGCAGGAATTTTTTAAAAAATTAAACGGTAACCGCATGGCTTTCTCGGAATCCCAGTTTCCTCCCCTGTAAAACAAAGCGGGTCGGACAAGAGAATTCCGAAGGTCTTTTCAGGCTCTAAAATCATGTGATGGGGCTTACAGGGACTTTCTCTCTGTTTCCAGTGTGGAAATAGGATTTACAGCGCCCCGCCCCCTTTACAAAGGGCTGGGACAGACGCGAGAGGCCCCTGTGGCCTTAAACTAACCAAAGGTCTTCATGCAACTTGCAGTTCCTCCAGTCAGAGAAGGCGGAGGCACTTTTTGCTATTAAGTTCTTTTTCTGATTTAGGTCATCAAAGGAGGAACCGTGTGATACATAAAAAACGTATTACGTAAGTAGAAATAGCTACGTGAGCACGATATGGGATAAGAACAGCGAACCTAAAATTAATTAACCAACACAAAGGACAAAGATGATTTTTTTTTTCCCTCAAACAGTAAAACCGGGTTGGGCGGGGGAGCTGTGGGCAGATCTTGCTGAAACGTAATTTAGACAGGCACGTACAGAAGGAGCTCCCGCTCACTACCCGCATAATGGTGCATTGTTTCTCTCTGACCACTACAGTGTTCTCATTTCACCTAGAAAGAGTCTGAGCAAGACAGTCCAAATAATCCATTACCAGCTAAATTTGGAGAAACAAGGTTCTTCTTGTGAGATTGAGACTAGAAGCAGGTGTAGTTTCAGGTTAAACACCTGATCGAGTTCTCTGAGCTGGAACCCCAGTGAGGGTCCCGCAAAGGTACCAGCCTTGTGATACACCTGCATTTCCTTATCTACCTGCTGGGATCTCTCTTGGAAACCTGTGATAAAACAAAGCCAGTATTATCTAAAGGAATTAAGGAGGGGCATCCTTTCCAGATCTCTAAACAACCACTGACTTTGTAACAAAGGCCAAACATCTATTCGCCTGGGCATTAAAAAATAGTTTCTCAACAATATAAGCTTCAAGTGCTAGTGTAAATAGTTTCTCAACAATATAAGCTTCAAGTGCTAGCGTTTTTTTGTTTGTTTGTTTGTTTAAATAAAGTTAATTTCTGCTTTCTATAAATGTTTTTTTTTTTTTGTTGTTGTTGTTTGTTTGTTTAAATAAAGTTAATTCCTGCTTTCTATAAAAACAGAGGAAAGTAATATTTACTGAGCATCTATTAAGTGCCGGGTACAGGGCTAGGTGCTTAGACATAAGTCATTTTGTTCCATATTCTCTTTCTTTCTCTCTCTGTCAGGTGGGTAATATTGTTCCCATTTGACAGATGAAAAAATAGAACCCCAGAGAAGATGAACAGCCTGTCCGAGTAACAGTAAATGGAAGCGCCAAGATCTACACACGGGACTTTGTAGCTTCCAAGCTCATGCTCTCCTAGGTTATCTGCTTAAAGCAGAAAATTGTTAAAAGTCAGGTGATGATTGTTATAAGTCAGCCAATTATTTATTTAGCCAAGCTCAAGTATAGTTCTAAAAGCAGCAGCTAGGACTCGGCTTACAAAGGAGACACTCACAAGCATATGTGATCGTGTCACCAGCTGGGCATGGTGCCCACATGGTAACCTCAAGGTGGCTCTGCCTATCTCCCCAATCTGAACCCCCCACCCCCACCAGTGCCTGCCACGTATTAAAATGCAGATTCCACATCCCCACTGAACTGAGTCGGGGATGTGTCGTTTCAGTGAGTCCCTCAGGCGATTCTTAAGCATATTACAATTTAAGAATTATTTCCCTTTAGAATTAACAATATGGGTAAGCAAGAGAGAGACAAGAGTCAGAGCGAAAGGAATGATCCAGAAGACCGTCCTCTTCAGAAACCGAGGCGAACACAGTGGATCTCTTGACTATAAGGGAGAAAGCATTTTGGATTTTGGGGTAAGAAGCTGCACTGCAGGTTCTCTTGACACTTGAATTTTTTATAGCTAAGCAAACAAGCCATGCTGAGTAATGATGAGTGAAGGAAAATATCACTTCACTTCTTGGCTCTTCCCTTTGTCTGAACAAAAGTGCCAGTGCAACGGCCGGCACCAGCCGCAAAGGTCAGGATTGGGATCAGCATCTGCGTTTTGCAAGCATTTCCCTTTGGAAATATATATTACACTGCAAAGTCCTCCGTGCCCAGAGATGGCCTTCATTTCACCCTGAGATGAGCAGAGGCTCTGTCATGTTTACTTGGCTTTCCATCATCCATCAGCCTAGGCAGACATACAACAGAACAGCTCACTTGTGAAGGAAAGGGCCGTTCTTATTAGAAAATAACAGAATCCAAAGACCGAAAGAGACTCAGTGTTTATTTCATCCCAACTCAAATCAGCGTAGACAAAAGAATCTCTCTCCCTTTTAAAGATCAGTAAAGAGGTTCGTTTAACATGACAGCTTTTGGCACTTTGGTTAATACCAAATGTATGTTCCTTGGCTCAATTCTACATTTTTTTGAAATATGCAGAGTCAGTTGCAATATAGCAATGACATTAATTCCTCATTCCTCTTATCTGCCAGCTGGCTCTGTTGCTAATTTTTACTTGACCATTCCATCTTTCAGAGCCTGGGTGGTCCCTATGCATTCTACTGATAGGGAAACTGAGGCCCAAAGAGCTTACATTCCTGGCCCAAAGTTACCAGCAAGTTCTTGGCAGACATACACTTAGTACTCAGGCTCCCCAACTCCTTGTACTGTAGCAAATGGTCCGTGATTTACCCTGGGACTCGGGCAGGCATGGTTACAATCTTCCACGGCTCATCAATTTGTTACTAAAATAATAGTACAATGAAAATCAAAAGCATGATTGCACACATTCTGAATAACGAGGAAATACATATGAAAGACTCTTCAGCCAAGAGTCTATTTGCCTGAAAAGGTAAAGGGATTCCTGCACTGCAAAGTATCCAGTTTGGAAGGATTCTGGCTACAGAATAAATACACAGATAAAACAACCTGTTGCAAGGCTGAGAAGCTGCACGCTGTCTCACAGTCAAGTGAAGCATGTCACATCCCTGAAACTCAGTGCCGGACAGAATCTAAAAGTTCCATATTTGATGCACTACTTTTGAAATGCCTGTTGGATATCTCGGGTGATGAGACTGGAGAATTGAGACCATTAACGAAATCCCAGTAACCTTCAGTGCCCCCAAGCAGAAGCCATTACAGGCTGTAAGAGGAAGGCCACGAAGATTAGGCAGGGCCATTCCTTCTAATCCAGAACCAGCCTCATCTTGCCTCAGCTACCTTTCTGAGGGACAGACCATGGAACTAGACCACCAGAAACCTAATATCTGAGAAAGCATATTTGAAATATAAATCTCCTCAGCAGGTGACTCTCACAAACCTATGACAGAATACTCAGTGTGAGTTAGAACTTGCTCCAGAATATCTGAAATATTCAGGATGTCCCAGACAAATTCTCCCTCTCAGGTGTCCTGATCTCTCAACCCTCCATCAGCCTCTGAAACTACAGCATGCTGTGTTGATGGCTTTCAAAGCTCTTACGTCTCACCCACACAAGAGCTCTACGAGGTAGGAAGAACAGGGACTGTCGACCTCGTTTTACAGATGGGCAAACAGACTCAGAGGAACAAAGTGACTCACCCAAGGTGACGGCCAAGAAATAAAGAGTTGGCAGCAAACTAATGCAGTGCTCCTTAGACCCAAACAATCCCCTAATCTCTGACGCCCGGAACCTTGTAGTCATCCTTGATGCCACCCTCTTTTTCATCTCCCACTAAATGCCGTCCACTCTCACATCCCTTAGTCACCCCTTCTCTCACCAGTGAGTCCAGCCTTCAACCCCTTTTTCTCAGATTGCTGAGGATTTCCTACTCCCTGGCTCCTTCTTCTACAAAGCAACCTGCGAAGGGTAGTCCACTCCCTCCTCCTTAACTGAGGGCTGCGCTTGGTGACTTCTTTCCAAAGAAGACAGCGTGGGAAGGAAGGGAAAGAAACTTTACAGTGGACAAATCTGCCAGATGCTCCCTCAGCCAGGCGATCGAGGTCAGCTTCAACGGTGATAATCACGTGGACGGTATGGACCTTTGATATGTCGTGAAGGCAGCATTTTACCTCTGTGATCTTCCTTCCAGGAAACCCCATAATCTCAGCCCAATCATAAGAAAATTCTCAAGTTAAAGGACATCCGACAAAAACCTGCCCAGTACCCTTCAAAATTATCAAGGACATCGAAAACAAAAGGGGAAAATCCTCTTTTCACAGCCGAGACGACTAAGATGGCATGGTGACTAAATGTAACGTGGTATGGTAAATGGGATCCCAGAACAGAAGAAGGAAATAAAATAAAAACTACAGAAATATAAAG